TTTTTGCAGGACAAAATGCTGGGACTAGGGATATATGAGTGGGCCTACATAAACTACTTTTGCTAAAGGGAGACAAGACAAGATGCAAGAACTACCGCGGCATAAGTCTAATCGACGTTGTTGCAAAGATGTTTGCTATTGTTCCTCTCAGGCGGTTCCAGACTGTACGTGACTCTAGGACGCGACCCAACCAGGCCGGATTTCGCGCTGGGCGTAGATTTACGGACCAGACATTAGCACTGGGAACGATCCTCGATTTAGATTTCCCATTTAGTCGCCCTTTATCTCGGGACATTTTCCTTATATATGTGTATTGAAGTAACTCATGTGTCTAAATTGCTTTAAACCCATTGACCTTCACTTAACTCATTTTGGGTGCGAGTAACCGATTAGGTCCAAATATCGCATTTTTCACTTTTGTGACTGTAGTTGTTGTTTTCAGAAGGTTTTAACTGATTCGAGATTGTGAGTAAAGCCTGACGACTTCGCATGTCTCTGTGGGCTTTAACACAGTTCCCGTTTTACCTACTTTGTAGCCGGGCAGTGCACTCTTCCCCGAGGATGCAAGCGGCAATCGAATCTTCGACAACATACCCATTGAAGAGACCTGGAAGGTAGGTTTTCGGATAAACCAGCTGATATGATAAAACGTTCGTTTGTCTACCTTACACATGAACTTATTCTTAATCATGTTTTTTTAATTGTGTGTGCTTCGGTGGAAAGAAATCACAGTACTTCCTGCTTAAAGTCCATCCGTCTGTTCTCGCGTTTAAGTGGTCCTGGGGAGATAGCCTTCATTAATTTTGAGGATATACTATCTACTAATATCCCTAATTTTCGACCATTTTACTAGGGATTTCCCCAAAAAATTAACTCATTTTCTGTATGTGAATGGGTTCGTGGGGTTGCCATATCCCGTTAGGTACTTTTGCTAGTCACTCTTCCTGCTTACTTGGTTAAGTAGCGCTCATGAGAAACCATCACAGTGGACAGAGTCATTATTTTATTTAATCCTCTCCTAACATTTCCTGTGATTTATCGATGACACACTTTAAGGAGCAACGCGTCCATGATGGTTTATATTTTTTACGATATCAAAGGAGCCTATCGTGTTGAATGGGTGCCTTATGACATCACACTGAACCAACATTATTATTATTATCTGCAAGGACTGAAGCGATTTCT